GGATGTACGGTACAGCAGGAGTCCCCCCCCCCGGGGGGGCCAGAGCAGACCTCAGAGCCACCCCACGCTCCCCACACGGCACCTTTGCAACTAGCCTTTCAGTGAATTCTGTCTCTGCAGCCCGTGGGGGAGGGGGTGCTTGCTGGAGACTGCAAGCTCCCTGAGGGCAAGGTCCGGGAACGATGGGGATAGGACTGGCCTCCAGGATCGAGAGACCCCATCTCGTTGACCTCCCTTTCCAGTCCCACCCTACCCCATCCAGTTCCCTAGTCCCAGGGCTGTTGGGTCCTCCCTTCTCCCCTCCCCCTCCAATACCCCCTCCCCAAGTCACGAGTTTTCTCTTTGGGGCTTGTTGCTGCAGTCCGTGCTCCAGTACCGAGTACCTGGCTGGGCCCTGGGCACGCACAGGGGCCGTAGCCCCACTGTGTGTGGGAGCCATGAGGATCCTGGCTAACAAGACAAGGTGTGTGGGTGTCGTGGAGGGTGGGACGTGTGTCTGTGTGTGTGTGTGCGTGTGTGTGTGTGTGTGTGTGTGTGTGTGTGTGTGTGTGTGTGTGGAGTGCGGGGAAGGGAAGGGATCCCGTGGTGACGGGGCCGAACTGTGCTGCTTGAAGAGTGAAGCCCCTTGGGCACCTGGCCCCAGGCAGGAGCCTCAGCCAACCTTAGTGCCTGGGCCCAAGGGGCAGAGGGGACTGGCAACCAGCTATGCCTGCCGCTTCTGGTTCCTTCTAGCTCTTCCCTCTGAAAATGGTTTGAGCAGACCACCGCCCACCCTACTGTGGGGTCCCCTGGCGCCCCTTGGCCTCAGTCTAGCTGGGGGTGGGAGCTGCAGTGAGGGGTGGTGCCCGCCCCCCTCCCCCTCTCCAGGAGAAGCCGGCAGACAGGGCCAGGCGGCAGCAGCAGGACAGCAGAGCTGAAATAAATCTGAGCTGGTGTGGAATGAGGGGGGATAAATATCCTCTCCCGTGATGTGATCTTTCCAGCGGCTATTAATAGGTCTCCGGGGAGGGGGAGGCGCTGGGGGGAGCGGGCTGGAGCTTAAAGGGCCCGCAGCCTAGGCTGCAGGAATCCTTGGCTTCACGCTGCACTCCCGTCTGCCTGACACACAGCGCCCCTCCCCCTTCCTCCTGCTCCTGCCTGCCTGCCTGCCAGCCCTGCCGGCCCACCCTTCAGGCCTTCCCCTCAGGCTCTGGGGAGCTGTCTGGACCAGTGGGCACCACTATCTGGTGTGCTTCCCCTCTCCCACCCACTTTCCGCTGGGGAATGGGGCTGGGGCATGAGCAGTGACCCCCAGGTCCTGTGGCCCTTCTCTGCTGGTGTTGGGACACATGGCAGTTGAGGTTTGGGACCTTGGAAGGAGTCTGAGGACAGCAAACCCTATAAGAGAGAGGATGCTGGTCAGGTGCTAGAGGAGAGGTGTTGCCACAGAAGCTTGCACTCTAACAGATGTTGGGGCTGGGGGTGGGCCGATTCTGCTAACTCAAGGCCCTAGTGTACATTTGAATTGGGGGGTGAAGGAGGTTGCCCCATCTCCACTCCCCAAGGAGGACAAGGACATCAGCAATCATCTGAGGGGCAATGGAGGGAGGTAGGGAGTAGCTGGTGGTCTTAGATGCCACTAAGCCTCCCCCACCATTAGGTGAGGCAAGATGGGACAATTAAAATCCAGGCATGCATAGCCCCTAGCAAGATTAACTTTTCACATCTCTCCTACCTTCTCCCAGGTTACCCCACCCCAGGAGGAGAGAAGCTCCAGGGAGCCCGCCGCTGTCCCCCCGCGGCCACTGCCCCCCTGCCCCCGCCAAGCCAATGCACCCAGAAAATAAATTGACCAATCATGGCAAGACGGGGAGTGGCGGGGCACAATCCCAGCACCAGAATGTGAACCAAGGACCCACCTGCAACCTGGGCTCCAAGGGCGTGGGGGCGGGGAATCATGGGGCCAAGGCCAGCCAGATCTCACCTAGCAACTCAAGTCTGAAGAACCCCCAGGCAGGGGTGCCCCCTTTCAGCTCGCTCAAAGGCAAGGTGAAGAGGGAACGGAGCGTGTCTGTGGACTCTGGAGAGCAGCGAGAGGCTGGGACTCCATCCCTGGATTCAGAGGCCAAAGGTACCCCATTTTCTGATCCCAAGACCCTAGCATACTCCACAGCCCAAGGCCAAAACTTGCTGGGAGACCATCTCTCTGCCCTCCTTGCTTAATACTCATCCCCTACTTCTCTCCAGCATTTATGCATGGGCACCTTTCTCTTACCCCATCACACCCACCAACCATGTCATTCTGGATTAGGGTCGACCAGGGTGCCACCCATGGAGGGGCCACACAGAGTGATGGGGCTTCTGGTCTCACTTCCCTTCTGTTTTCCCACCAGAGCCCAGAGGGGGAGTGGGAGCTGCTCGGGGGGTGAGGAGCAGACCCATACACCTCCCAGGAGTCTCCTGGTGTCACTGGGGTCTGGAAGAGTAGCAGCAGCTTCCCCCTCCCTCCCCCAGCCTTAATTAGAACCAGTTGTGGTTGGGGATTATGCTGTACTTGGTGTTGGGGGTGTGGGGAGGGGAGACAGGCAGCCAGGGCTGTAGAGAGAAATCAGAAACAAATGGTGTGGTGGGGGCCAAGGGCTGGCAGAGTGCCCCCCATCGCCTGGGCAGTGCCCTCTGTGGTGTGGCATCTTGGAGAATGGGGTTGGGAGGGACATTGGGTGTGGGAGGACAGGTCCTCTGGACACTCTCTTACCCCTGCCTGCCTCCATCCTGCCTGGGCAGAGGTGGCGCCTCGGAGTAAGCGGCGTTGTGTGCTGGAACGGAAGCAGCCATACAGCGGGGATGAATGGTGCTCCGGACCCGACAGCGAGGAGGATGACAAGCCCATTGGGGCCACCCACAGTGAGTGCCCATTGATGCCAGGATGCCGTGGCCTGTGGTGCCCCTGGGGGATGACTGCCCTGAGGGATCCTCCCTCTTACCTAGGACTTTAGAGGACTGAGACTGGGCACAAAGTAGAAAGGGCCAGGTGTCCAGGCTCCTTTTCTCCTCTCCTACTTCTCATATTGTGTCCCTCCCTGCACTGTGACAGCCAAGCCCCTGCCTTGTACATGTTCAATGGCCCCCTCTCCCTAGGGACCTGAAGTGGGGTGAGGTTCACTCAGGTGAACTCTAGATTGGTGGCCCGTATGCTGGGGACAGCACCAGCACCTTTACCTATGAAATTCTTGGCCTATGCTGCCACCTACTGGTCAGTGGAGGGAGGGCCGTGAAGGTACAGTCTCCCTGGGAGCCGGACAGTTGGCTCTGCTGCACAAAGCCGTGTTAAGCCTGGGTGTGAGCTGACACTTGGCTGTGTCTCTGGCGCCCTTCCCTAACCTCTGATTGACTCCTGGCAAGTGCTCAGGGTGTGTCACCAGAACAAGGAGTGAATGCCCCCTCCTCTCATAGGTCTTCCATCAGTGATGGGGGAGAACCAGATAAAATCCCTGCCTTTGGGAAACCCAAACACATTTATTTGATTTTTTCCTTCAAAGCTTTCATCTGTTTGTGGGGAGAGACAACCTAATGCAGAAGAAACTAGTCAGAGAATGTTCAATTGTGAACTTCTCAAAATCAGGGACCATAGAAAGAAGAAAGGAAAAAGTATGTTGGCTACTTTGTTTTTTGGTTTTGTTTTGTTTTGTTCTTTAAATGTTTTAAATTTTTACTTTCACTACTTTGTTTTATTTAATACTTATGCCAGCCCTGTGAGATAGGTGTTATTATAGTTCCTATTGCAGAGGAGGAGACAGCCAGCACAGTTGGGGAATGAGCGTCCCGTGTCTGTGGAGGTGGTGCAGGGGTCAAACACTAAAGCCTCTACAGCTGGCTGGGACTTCAAAGGCCATCCGGTCCCAGGTCTCCTCCCCCTCCCCATGGGACTGACTGGTGGTCCATGAGCCTCTGGCTGAACCCTTCAGTGACAGAACCCCTCACTGCCTCCTGGGACAGGTGCCTCCGCTACCTCCAATGTATTCCTGTAACATTCAACTACACCTTTGTAGAAACTTTGGAAGACACAGAGAAATACAAAGAAGAAATTGCTAACATCCTATACCCAAGGCAACCACTGTGACTATTTTAGTCGTACTGCCATTAGATTGTTGAAGAGTTCTTAATGGAGGAGCAGTATAACGTAGACGTTGATGGCATGGGCTCTGCCATCAGACTGCCTTCGTTTACATCCCAGGTCCTCTACTTGTTATTTGTGTAAATTTGGGAAAGGGCCTTGATTTCCTCCTTTATAAAAATAATATTTACGGGCCGGTCCATGGCTCACTCGGGAGAGTGCGGTGCTGATAACACCAAGGCCCCGGGTTCGGATCCCACATAGGGATGGCCGGTTGGCTCACTGGCTGAGCGTGGTGCTGACAACACCAAGTCAAGGGTTAAGATCCCCTTACCGGTCATCTTTAAAAAAAAATAAATAAATAAAAATAATATTTACTTCATAGGGCTGGTATGAGGAGTAAATGAGTTGATACAGGATTGAACCCTGGACTTTGGTGTTATCTGTACCACGCTCTAACCAAAGGAGCTAACCAGCCAGCCCAGAATAGTGCTAGCTTTTTTTTTTTTTTTTTTTTTTTTAAAGATGACCGGTAAGGGGATCTTAACCCTTGACTTGGTGTTGTCAGCACCACGCTCAGCCAGTGAGCTAACCGGCCATCCCTATATAGGGATCCAAACCCGTGGTCTTGGTGTTATCAGCACCACACTCTCCCGAGTGAGCCACGGGCCAGCCCAGAATAGTGCTACTTTTTATTGTTATCATTGTACTAGAAAGTTCCTTATTGAAATATGCACTGCCTCCCTCCCCATAGCTTGTACTCAGGAGAGTGGTTGTGTGTTCTGAGCATAACAGTCCCTCCTTATATGTGGGGGATATGTTCCAAGACCCCCAGCAGATGCCTGAAATTGTGGGTAGTACCAAATCGTATATACTGTGTTTTTTACTATAAATACATACCTATGATAAAGCTAAATTTATAAATTATGCAGAATAAGAGATTAACAATAACCAATAATAAAATAGAACAAATATAAATAAGCTTATTTATGAATTTAAGTAAAACAATTGAAAAATTATTAATTGTTTATTTCTGGAACTTTCCATTTAATTTTTTTGGACCACAGCTGACTTTGGGTAACTGTAACTGTGCAAAGCAAAACTGCGATAAAGGGGACTGCTGTCTACCCTCTCTCCCCAGGGCAGCCCTCACACACTGAGCTCGGCTCTCAAGTCCCCTGCAAACTTCTGCTCTGCTGTTCTATGTAAAATTGGAGAGACAGAGTCCAGAGCAGGGCTGTTATGGAGTGGGTCTGTCCGAGGAGGTCTATCCAAGGGGGAGTGCAAGGCGAGGGCTGTGGCAAGGTGGCTGCTGGTCTGGTGCGGGAAGGCAGCTTCAGGCGCTTTTTCTTCTGTTAAGTGAGAGTGCTGTTACCCACCGTCTGCAGGCCACGCACTTTGACTTGTTTTTCTTGGCACGGAAAGGGTCCACCCACTCACCTAGACCCATTGGCAACCAATTGTGGATCTTTTCTAGGCTAAAGACTTAGAGTCAAGTTAGTGACCATGGAACAAAATTTCTCTTGGTGCTGAGAGTGGCTGGTCTATGCTGGGTGTGTTCCCAGTGTATCAGCCTTTTCTGTTTTTCAAGTGGATTTTTTACTTTATGACATAGTTTAGAACTCACCGTTAAAATTATATTTCTTTGGGCCGGCCCGGTGGCGCACTGGATAGTGCGCCGCTTGGGAAGTGCGGCGGCGCTCCCGTCCGAGGGTTCGGATCCCACATACAGACCGGCTCCTGCTCACTGGCTGAGCGAGGCGTGGGAGCAACACCGAGGCTTGCGATCCCGTTGCCGGTCCCCGGTCCGGTACGGGGGCAACACTGAGGGTTGCGATCCGTTGCCGGACACGGAAAAAAGACAAAAGACAAAAAAAAAATTATATTTCTTTGACCTGCGCCCTGTGCAGGGTGGGGGTTAGTGTTTCCATTTTATACATAAAGAAACTGAGGCTTAGTGGGATGAGGTGTCTCGTTCATAAAGCGCGCACGCACACAGTAGTGAGAGAGCTAAGAGCCGAGCTGAGAGCAGGGCTTTGAAGTCCCTGCCCCGGGTTCAATCCCCGGCTCTGCTGTAACTAGCTGAGTAACCTTGCGTGAGTTACTTCATCCCTTTGAGGCTCCTTTCCTCCTCTGTAAACTCTGTAAAGTGGAGTGTGTGACATGTTCCTCCCAGGGATGAAGGACTCACAGCTGTACATATCCAGTGGGATGCCAGGCACGTGGGGGTCTGCTGGTAAGGGCCACATTTTCTCTCTTCCTCCTCTCCACGTGGCCAATACTCTTGCCATCCTGGGTAAAGAGTGGTCTAGGACATGTATGTAGAAGCCAGATTGGTGACAACATGAGAAATGTACAACAGATGACCCCACTCTGGGCAGTGAACACCCTGGGGCACATGCCAGCTGGGTCCCTTCCTGCGTCAAGGCGCTTACCCCCTTCCCTCTCCTCTCTCCTTGTGCAGATTGTAATGTAGCAGACCCAGCCATGGCGGCCCCACAGCTGGGTCCTGGCCAAACTGCCCAACTGCCCCTCAGCGAGAGCAGCACACCAGGCCCCCCGCATGGCCCCCCGCCAGGCCTTCGGCCCGATGCCCCTGGGGGTGGGGGCGGGGGTGTCCCCGGAAAGCCTCCCTCCCAGTTCGTGTATGTCTTCACCACCCATCTGGCAAACACGTAAGTGCCTCTGTCTACCCAGCACCCCTCAGCCTGGGGTCCTGAGGGAGTGGGTGCAGGGGGGCAGGATGAGGTGGTCAGGGTGGGGGCTCCTTCCTGCCCACCTCTCTGAGCTGTCTGCACCTGACCCTCTGATGCAGGGCTGCGGAGGCAGTGCTGCAGGGCCGAGCAGACTCCATCCTCACCTACCACCAGCAGAACGTGCCCCGAGCCAAGCTGGACCAGGTGAGTGGTGTTGTGCTGGCATCCGTGCAGGCCCAGGCGTGGTGCCTCTGTGAGTAGCGGATTGGGCGGGATGTCTCCTTACCTGTCTCACACTGTGTTTGTCCTTGCAGGCTCCCAAAGTGCCACCTACCCCTGAACCGCTACCCCTCAGCGCGCCATCAGCAGGCACCCCACAGTCCCAGCCACCTCCACTGCCGCCGCCGCCACCTCCCGCCCCTGGCAGTGCCCCGCCTGCTTTGCCCCCAGAGGGTCCTCCTGAGGACACCAATCAGGACCTGGCCCCCAACTCGGTGGGAGGTGCCAGCACAGGCGGTGGAACTGGGGGCACCCACCCTAACACCCCAACAGCTGCCACCGCCAGCAACCCTCTGCCTCCTGGAGGAGACCCTAGCAGTGCCCCTGGCTCTGCCCTGCTGGGGGAGCCTACCCCAACAGGAAATGGGCAGCGCAGCCTGGTGGGCTCGGAAGGCCTGTCCAAAGAGCAGCTGGAGCATCGAGAGCGTTCCCTTCAGACACTGCGGGACATAGAGCGGCTACTGCTCCGCAGTGGGGAGACCGAACCCTTCCTCAAAGGCCCCCCAGGAGGAGCAGGTGAGGGGGGCCCACCAGCACAAGCCCCTCCTGCCCCCCAGCAACCCTCCACGGCCCCTCCCAGCGGGCTGAAGAAGTATGAGGAGCCCTTACAGTCCATGATTTCGCAGACACAGAGCCTAGGGGGCCCCCCACTGGAGCACGAAGTGCCTGGGCACCCTGCGGGAGGGGACATGGGACAACAGATGAACATGATGATGCAGAGGCTGGGCCAGGATAGCCTGACACCTGAGCAGGTGGCCTGGCGCAAGCTGCAGGAGGAGTACTATGAGGAGAAACGGCGGAAGGAGGAGCAGATCGGGCTGCACGGGGGCCGCCCGCTGCAGGACATGATGGGCATGGGGGGCATGATGGTGCGGGGGCCCCCCCCTCCCTACCACAGCAAGCCTGGGGATCAATGGCCACCTGGAATGGGTGCACAGCTGCGGGGGCCCATGGATGTCCAAGATCCCATGCAACTCCGGGGTGGACCTCCCTTCCCCGGTCCCCGTTTCCCAGGCAACCAGATGCAACGCATGCCTGGGTTTGGGAGCATCCAGAGTATGCCCATGGAGGTGCCCATGAATGCCATGCAGAGGCCTGTGAGGCCAGGCATGGGCTGGACCGAAGACTTGCCTCCTATGGGGGGACCCAGCAATTTTGCCCAGAATACAGTGCCCTACCCAGGTGGGCAGGGTGAAGCGGAGCGATTCATGACCCCTCGGGTCCGTGAGGAGCTGTTGCGGCACCAGTTGCTGGAGAAGCGGTCGATGGGCATGCAGCGCCCGCTGGGCATGGCAGGCAGCAGCATGGGGCAGAGCATGGAAATGGAGCGGATGATACAGGCACACCGGCAGATGGATCCTGCCATGTTCCCCGGGCAGATGGCCGGTGGTGAGGGCCTGGCAGGCACACCCATGGGCATGGAGTTTGGTGGAGGCCGGGGCCTCTTGAGTCCCCCCATGGGGCAGTCTGGGCTGAGGGAGGTGGACCCACCCATGGGGCCAGGCAACCTCAACATGAACATGAATGTGAACATGAACATGAACATGAACCTGAATGTGCAGATGACCCCGCAGCAGCAGATGCTGATGTCACAGAAGATGCGGGGCCCTGGGGACATGTTGGGGCCCCAGGGCCTCAGTCCTGAGGAGATGGCCCGGGTTCGGGCCCAGAACAGCAGTAGCATGATGGGCGGCCCACAGAAGATGCTTATGCCTTCACAGTTTTCCAACCAGGGCCAGCAGGGATTCTCTGGGGGCCAGGGACCCTACCAAGCCATGTCCCAGGATATGGGCAATACCCAAGACATGTTCAGCCCTGACCAGAGCTCAATGCCCATGGGGAATGTGGGCACTACTCGGCTCAGCCACATGCCTCTGACCCCTGCGTCCAATCCTTCTGGAACCGTGCATTCAGCCCCAAACCGGGGGCTGGGCAGACGGCCTTCAGACCTCACCATCAGTATTAATCAGATGGGCTCGCCGGGCATGGGGCACCTGAAGTCGCCCACGCTTAGCCAGGTGCACTCACCCCTGGTCACCTCGCCCTCTGCCAACCTCAAGTCACCCCAGACTCCCTCACAGATGGTGCCCTTGCCTTCTGCCAACCCGCCAGGACCTCTTAAGTCGCCCCAGGTCCTCAGCTCCTCTCTCAGTGTCCGTTCGCCCACTGGCTCCCCCAGCAGGCTGAAGTCTCCCTCCATGGCGGTGCCTTCTCCAGGCTGGGTCGCCTCACCCAAGACAGCCATGCCCAGCCCCGGGGTGTCCCAGAATAAGCAGCCGCCTCTCAACATGAACTCTTCCTCCACCCTTGGCAACATGGAACAGGGTGAGTCAGGTGGGCAGGCAAGTGGGCAGTGGATCCCAATATTGGGAGTCTCTGAGGTGGTCTCATGCTGGGGCAGGACAGTGGGTTATAAAAGACATCTGCACTAGGGGCCCAGAGGCAGGTGGCTCTGCTTGCAGGGCAGATGGTAGCAGCTACGTTGGGCTTTCTCAGGGAGTACTGTGCTCATCTCCCAGGCATTTTGAAGGGTCCTGCTTGGGACTTGGGATCTTCCAATTGCCTGGGTCCCTGAGACTGCAAGAATCCCTTGAAGACTGGTGGACTGTGGTGATAACGGGGGTGGGGGGGTGGACTATGTTCAGGGGGATGTGGGTGTACCTGCAGGAGTCTGATGGAGATGTGAGGAGTTGATTCTTCCAAACCCCCCAGTGTAAGCAGCCAAATTCCTCTTCCCCTCCCAGTCACCCCCTGCTGTCTTTCTGTCTCCCCACTTCTGTAGGTGCCCTCCCGCCTAGTGGTCCCCGGAGCAGCTCCTCGGCGCCTCCCACCAACCCTCCCAGCGGCCTCATGAACCCCAGCCTACCATTCACCTCCTCCCCAGACCCCACGCCTTCCCAGAACCCCCTGTCACTGATGATGTCCCAGATGTCCAAGTACGCCATGCCCAGCTCCACCCCGCTCTACCACAATGCCATCAAGACCATCGCCACCTCAGATGATGAGCTGCTGCCCGACCGGCCCCTGCTACCCCCACCACCACCACCGCAGGGCTCCGGGCCAGGTTCGAGGACAGGCAGGGGTCCCAGGGAGGACAGCCGATGTGGGCACTGGGAATGGGGAGAGTGGGCAGGGCCAGGGATTGCCCTGTGGTTGTGCTGGCTATTCTGTGCTTCTACAGGGCCCTGGGTGTGGGAGCGTGAGGTCCCTGGGTGCTGTTCCCACTCACTGAAGCCATTTAGTGAAACCCAGCCGTAGTCTTTCCAATACCCAGTGATGTGCTCATGACAAACTGGGCCAGAACTTGATCTCTTGGTTTTTAACTTAAATGCCTCCAGTCCCTTCCCTTGCAGCCAGAGAAGGCTAGTGGTGGAATCTCCCACCCCTGGCACCACCTCGCTGGTGAGTGGGGAAGAACTGGATTCTGCACCCTCCCCCAGCTGGGTGTGCAGTTCCTGACCCCCTTGTTCTTTTTCCCCACAGGGATCAGCAACAACCAGCCCAACCAGATGCACCTAAACTCAGCTGCTGCCCAGAGCCCCATGGGCATGAACCTGCCAGGCCAGCAGCCCCTGTCCCATGAGCCCCCACCTACCATGTTGCCCTCCCCAACCCCTCTGGGCTCCAACATTCCACTGCACCCCAATGCGCAGGGGACAGGAGGGCCCCCTCAAAACTCAATGATAATGGCTCCAGGGGGCACAGACTCCCTGAATGCCCCCTGCGGCCCTGTGCCCAGCTCCTCCCAGATGATGCCCTTCCCCCCTCGGCTGCAGCAGCCCCATGGTGCCATGGCCCCCACAGGGGGTGGGGGCGGGGGGCCTGGCTTGCAGCAGCACTACCCTTCGGGCATGCCTCTGCCCCCAGAGGACCTGCCCAGCCAGCCACCAGGCCCCATGCCCCCCCAGCAGCACCTGATGGGCAAAAGCTTGGCTGGGCGCATGGGCGACGCATACCCAGCAGGCGTGCTCCCTGGGGTGGCTTCAGTGCTGAATGACCCCGAGCTGAGCGAGGTGATCCGGCCCACCCCAACGGGGATCCCTGAGTTCGACCTGTCAAGGATCATCCCCTCTGAGAAGCCAAGCAGCACCCTCCAGTACTTCCCCAAGAGCGAGAACCAGCCCCCCAAGGCCCAACCCCCCAATCTGCATCTCATGAACCTGCAGAACATGATGGCAGAGCAGACCCCATCTCGGCCCCCCAACCTCCCAGGCCAGCAGGGCGTCCAGCGGGGGCTCAACATGTCCATGTGCCACCCCGGACAGATGTCCTTGCTGGGCAGGACAGGTGTGCCCCCACAACAGGGCATGGTACCCCATGGCCTGCACCAGGGGGTCATGTCCCCTCCACAAGGCCTCATGACCCAGCAGAATTTCATGCTGATGAAGCAACGGGGCGTGGGGGGCGAGGTCTACAGCCAGCCCCCGCACATGCTCTCCCCACAGGGCTCCCTCATGGGCCCCCCGCCCCAGCAGAACATCATGGTGTCCCACCCCCTGCGGCAGCGCAGCGTGTCTCTGGACAGCCAGATGGGCTACCTCCCGGCGCCGGGCAGCATGGCCAACCTGCCCTTCTAGCTGTCTACTGGGGGCTGCAGCTGGGCAATACTACAGATGTTGCAAATATGATAACCTTTAAAAAGTTCCTTCCCTCCAGTGCTGGGATGGCCTGGGTCAAGGGGTGGGGTAGAGGGGTGGGAGGGGGCTTGTGTGGGGAATGGCATTTGTGGAAACCAGATGTGCTGGCAGCTTAGGGGGAAGTGGCAGAGTGGGGTGGGGATTTTGGATTGGGGTTTGTCCCATTTTGGCCACCAGGACTGACCCTCCCCCACTCCTCACAGTTCCTATGGAGCCTCTATTTTCCCTCTTTCTCTGCACTCCTCTCCCCCCCGCAGTTCAGCTATGTTTTTGGAGTCCTGTATCTTTGGAGGAGAGAGGAAGGAGAGGAGAGGTCTCCCCTCTGTACCCCTTTCTGCTGCTGTCTCCTCATCTCTTGGTCACTCGAGCTCCACTTTTCCTCCTCTTGGTTTCTCTGGTCCCACATGTTCTTCCTTCTGTCTTTTCCTTCCTCATTTTCTCTCCCTGCTGATATGGCTTGACCGCCCTCTCCCCCCCCCCCCTGCAGGCGGCTGGCCAGGTGGGCAGGTGCCAGCCGTAGCTGTAAATAGAGCGCTGCGCTTTTGTGCCGGTTTGTGCGTGTGCTGTATTTCTGTGTTTTGATAGAAGTCACACAAAAAAAAGGATAAAAGAAACCCTTCCCCTTTCAAATGATTGCCCCCTCCATTCCCCTGGACCCAAGGACCTGCAGTGTCTCTGGGTCCATAAAGGACACCATTCCTGTCCCCTCCCCAAATGGCAAAATGACATAGATGCCCCCCACCTAAACTGAGCTCAGACCACCTAGGTTTCCACCTGGTGAGCCCCAGCAGGGCTGAGACCCCCAGGGCGGCAGCCTGTCTGCTGCTGAGTGATTCAGGGAGAACATGCGAGCACATGTGTGCGTGTTTGCCCACACCGGTGACACGGGGCCCTGGCTTCCTGCTGATGTCTAGGTGTCCCCTGCTGCTACATCTTAGCCAGAACTTGAAGTCCTCCATCCCCAGTCTGGGATGAAGGAAAGGAGGAAGAGGCAGTGGCTGAGTGCCCCCCTTGAGTGGAGCGATGGAAGGGGTCGCTGCAGTAATCCTGGGCCAGGTCACCTCCAAAGGCTGCCACCTACTTACCAAAGAGAGAAGGAATGGAGTTTGGCCGAATCAGGCTGCCTCCTACTCCAGCCTCCAGCCCCTGAGGATGGAATTGGGAGAGTGCTGGAGAGCCTCAAGCATCCCGCCACTTCCTCTCTGCCGCCCACTCACTGGCAAGGTCCCTCTGCCCAGCTCTCAGGGCAATGTGCCAGCTCTGTCTGTGCCCACCCAGGCACAGCCACTGCCTCCCCCTCAGCCCCCTGCTCTTCCCAGAAGAGCTCCCCACCCACCTCTGGTTAGAGCTGAAGCCATACACGACTGGGTGTTTTGCCCTCCTTGGCCCCAGGAGTAAAAAACTTCTCCTTTTCTAACTTCCTTTCCTGCCTTGTGAGGTGGCGGGGCAGTTCCCTGGCCAAGGCCTTTTGCGCCCCGCCTCCAGGGCCAAGGGCCATTCTAGACAGGATGTCTTCTACCAGGGCCCTGTCCTAGCCTTCCTGACCCACAGGGCCTGGCCTCACATGGCAGCTGTAACACAAAGGGAATTCGTCCCCACCTTCCAGTCTGGTGCTGTCCTCAGTCCACTGCCAGCCAGGTCAAGCGCTTCCTTCCTCTGGGGCTGGCTGAAGGCTCCTGCCCCCCCCACCCAGCACCTTCCAGGGGCCTGGTCGGGGCCTCTGTGTTTGGGGGGCCACCTGCCCTCCATCCTGCCAGGCACTTTGCCAGCCCTGCCTCTACCTGGGCCCTGTGCCCACGAGCCCCCCACCCTGTCCCAAGACTCCCCAAACTGTCTGACTCTGTGTTTCCTGCCCTGAGGAGAGAGGGGTCAGACTGCAAAGGGCCCAGTGCTCTCCCCAGCTCCTCCCACTTCCGCCACTTGCTTTCCAAGGTGAACTCCACAGGCCAGCCTACTATTTCCCTCCATCCATGGCCATACCCCCAGCCATTTTGTACCATTATATAAATATATATATAAATATAAATATATAAATACAATATGTGAAGACATCTTCTTGGTTTTTATTTTGAAACAATTTTTAGGCTTGTTCCGGGGGTCTCTGTGCTGCCTGTACTGTATTGACCTGTTTTATAGGTGCCTTTTTATTAAAAAGAAAATTCAAAATCCAGCCTCTTGCCTTTTTGCTTCCGTGTCTGGCTCCTCCACTGCCCAGCTTGCGATTGGTGCTGAGAGAAAAAAGGGGGACCCCAGATCTTCCTCAGTGTTGCACTGTAAAGATGCCGTCCCCTGGGCCGCAGCTGATTACACCAGTGGGGACCCCCCTGGGAGCTTGACTGATTGGCTTGCATGGGACAGGGTGACCCAGATGCCCCCTCAGCAAGTGCAGGGGTCTCTGACTCCCACCCCAGATTGGAGTCTGGGAGGATGGGGGGGAGCACCCAGAACTGCTGACGAAGTGAGCAAGGAGCGTGGAGCAGCTTCCCCTGGTCCCACCTGAGTAGTACGCTCTCAGGGGCAGGGCATGGCCTCCTGGGGCCTGGGGACTTCCCTGCCCACCCAGGTCTGCTTCTCACACTGCCCTCCCTAAGGCGATTCTGGTTGAGAGGGCTCCTGGGACCTCTTTCAGTCTGTCTTTCTCCTCAGGGGGTCTCCATCTCCATTGACTCGCTCTGCTGTGGCCAGGACCCCTCTGCTGCTCTGGAGTCTCCACTGGCCCTGTAGCTTGTAGGAAGTGGGACAGGGAGAGGAAGAGTCTGCCTCCTTCTCCCTCAGTGCCCAGAACCCACCAGGCACCTGGACCCTACCACCCTGGCCCACCCTGGGAGCTCCCCGCCCACTTCCATCTCTATCCTGGGCAGAGAAGAGAGCTGGGTTTGATTTATATGTGTCCCTCTTTGGGGTTGGGGACAAGAGTCTTTTCTTTCCTCGGGTGGGCTTCTCTCTTGCTGGCTCAGCCTTAGCCCATCTGTAGGATGTTGTCTGGCTTCCGAGGGCACCTAGAGTCTGCCCTCGGTCTGCAGACCTCCCAGGACCTGGTGGTGTGGGCTGACCCAGTGCTGATTTGGTCAGAGCCAGGGGCAGCTACCTGAACTAGATCAGCCTGAGCTTCCTTCTTAGTCAAGATAGCTGCAGGGTTGGGGGCCTGGTAGAATGTCTGTGTTTTTAGGGACTGAGATGTGTTAAGGCCACACTCTGCTGCCAGCTGGCCTTTTCTCGGCCTTAACCTCCCCTCCTCCCCTGCTGTTCACCTTCTCCTGGCGTCATTCGGCAGGTGGGATAGGAGGAGTGGTGGGCAGCTGCAGAGGCCGGTGGCCCTTAAGATGATAGAGCATTCTGGGAGAGGATTGACTTTCCCTAAGGGCAAGGGCAGAAGGAAAAGTGGTTTCCTGAGCTTTGGGTGGTTAGGATGAGAGAGGGTATGTGGAATCCTCTCAGCCCAAGGTGATGCGTATGGCTATCATCCTTTGCTTTGCCTTGGGGCTGCTTTTCCCTCACTGGGTTCCAGCCTAGCCCTAGGGCAGGCAGGAGAGCTGGCAGGATGTCCTAGAAAGAAGGGTTGGTTTACCCAGCTGCCCATATCCGGACACTGGCCAAGGTGAGCTCTTAAGATCCCAGCCCCTGTTGGGAGGTTCCAGCATCACTGGATGCCCCAAGGAAAGCAGAAACTAAGGGGGCACTGGGACCTAAAAGGTGGTGAGGGAGGTGGCATTCTCTGACTCAGACAGGCTGCTCTTGCGCCAACTAGGGAAGAGCTGACACAGGGAGGCAGGGCCGGCACAGCCCAGCTTGGTCAGAAGCCGAGACAGGTCACTGCGGAACTTCACGCCGGCAAAAGTGTAGAGCATGGGATTGAGGCAGCAGTGAGCCAGGCCCAGGAACTCACTCACGGTGATGGCCATGGGGAGATAGCCGTTCAGTTCGCAGCTGTTGTCCACAGTCTTCAATCTCGCCAGGGTGTCTAGGAAGATGACGATGTGGTAGGGTGACCAGCAGAGAAAGAAGATGCTTGTCACCAGGATGGCCACCCGGACTGCCTTCTGTCGCTGGGGGCGCCGCTGGGCCTGGCACAGCCTGTGTACCACCCCCACGTAGCACCAGCCCATCACCAGCATTGGCAGCAGGAATCCCCCAATGTGGTAGAGGAAGCGGGAGATGAACCAGGCATTGGCTTCCGCTTGGTTTTCTTGGGAGAAGGTGCAGCGTGGCAGGGAGTCATTGTGATGGGGTTGGCTGACCTTGGCAAAGAGAATCTCTGGCAAAGCGAAGAGGAAGCCCGCAAGCCAGATGGTGGCACAAGTAATATGGATGGAGAGGAGGCGGCGGTGGCGGTAGGCGTGGACTGCATGGACGATGGCCAGGTAGCGGTCCACAGCAATGCAGGCCAGGAGCAGGCTGCTGCAGTAGAAGTTGATCTTGTGCAAAACGATGACAGTTTTGCAGAGGAAGATGCCCAGGACCCAGCCCACAGAGCCCTCAGCCACAGCAAAGGGCAGGATGAAGACCAGGAGGAGGTCGGCCACAGCCAGGTGGAACAGGAAGGTCTCAGTGGAGCTGCGCGTCTGCCGGTGCCGCTCCAGGATCACCAGCACCAGGATGTTGCCCATCAGACCCAGGAGGAAGATGAAGGTGTAGGCCACAGGCATGAACACAGCCTTGAAGGAGGTCAGTAGAGGCCCCTCAACTGTGGAGCAGATGTGACTGTCTATCCCGGAGGTGTCTGTGCTTTCCGTGTAGTTGGGGAATTCCTTGTACTGCAAGGGCAAAGAGACAGGAGGGTGAGGAACTGAGGACCATACAGTTTCTTTCCTGTCTGGGGGAACACGAGCTCCCTGGGAGATTCTTCCTATGCCTCTGGGCTAATGGCTGTTATCCCTGCACTCCCCATGCAGCCTGCAGACCAAATTCCAATTTTCCTTAGTGTGTCCTTGAACAAATTACTTTCTCTTTTCCAACTTCAGTTTTTCCTCTGTAAAAGGGACTAATTCCTGACAGGGCAGTGATGAAGATGAAGGGACATACGTGGTGTGGACATGCTTCACAGGGCTGTGCCCCTTGTAAGTTATCTTGTGTTTGTGTTCTCAGGTATGGAAGGCTGCAGGCTCGGACGCTGGAATCAGGACTTCAATTTTGAGACTGGATCTGGTCGGGACAAGGAGCCATATGTTCCAATTCTGTTTTTTCTGTTTTTGTTTTTTCCATATGTTCTAATTCTGAACAGAGCAGTGGGCACCAAAACCTGGGATCCCGCTGGGGATGGGGGATGTTGATGTGGCCTGTGGGCTTCCTCTTGATTTGTCCCCTGTTACTACTGTCTTCATTTTCCCTGAAATTGTACAGCTAGCCTCCCATCTGGGTTAATCTGCAAAAGCTCGTTTATGTAATATTACTGCTACTTTGCAGATGTCTTGCTAAAGCCCAGGTTTGTTTGAACCTACGTTTGTCTCCCTCCAGAGCCAGTATTTCCACCACTAAGCAGCGCCGCCTGGGCTTCCATGTAAAGGCTGCAATGCTCCCTCTGCCTCCCGTCACTAGTAAACTCCCCACAGCAAGGAGCACAGCAGAGAGCCCAGAGGCAGAGGCAGAAGGAAGTGAGGGAGACACAGGGAGACCAGGCACCAGGGAGGGCAGAGCCAGTTCCAAGTGAGGGGGCGTGTCTGCTATGTCTCCGGAAGTTCCCTCCTCCTCCTCCGCTCCCCATCACCCCCCCATCACCCCAGCACTCAGGTTGTTTACCCGGCTAACCGCAAAGGAAGACATGGTGCCTGTTTTCACACCTTTCACTCACAGCTGTCCCCTGCACCTGTTCCTCCTCACTTCCCAGCTCTGTTCTTCCCACCCCTCCCCTCATCACCCCCTCCCCACAGCAATTCAAAACCAATTATAACCAACCCATGTGGGCTCAAAATGGCAACTCTATAAAGTCCCGGGGAGGCAGAGGATGGGAGGGGGTGCTCTGTCCCCCAGGTTCTGGGTGGTCTCATGCTGACCCCTCTTCAGGAGAGCAAGGGCTCCCCTCAAGCAGGGGATGGTTGCACTTGCTACCACAGGGCTTTCTTGCCACCCAGGGGCTTCAGATGTGGGTCACACACTCACTCCCAGTGGTGGGTAGACCCATTCCCCAACTCGGGTCTTTTCTTCTGATCCCTGGGGCAGGTGGGTCTGTGAGAAGGGGGGTGGGAGGATGCATTGGCACAATGGCAGAGACCCCTGCTCCCCGCCAGCGTCCCTCCACCATCGCCTCAGCCCAGCCCTCCTTCACCCTAATGCTCAGCACTACTGTTTCTCCATGGGTCCCATTCCCACCAATTTCTCCATGCCTGTCCACCTCCTGCAAAGAGGACAGGGTAAGTTTTCTAACACACAAATCCCATCACGGGTAAGTTTTCTAACACACAAATCCCATCACATCAGTGTGCTGTTTAAAGTCCTTTACTGGTTCCCCATCACCTATGAGCAGTGGTTATCTTTTCATTTTGTCTTTAGCTTTTTTTTTTTTTTTTTCCAATTTCACATTTAATAGCAAAGCCAACTATAAGAAAAAGTCATGTTTGTGATATCATTTGCCAATAGAAGGTTGGAGTAATCCAGATTGAGGGCGTTCACACCACAGAATACCATGCAGTGCTCGAAAAGAAATGAGGTTCATCGGCAAGTCTTCGTAGGGAAAGATGTTTGACACACATTGCTAAATTTCAGAACCAATTGCAGGACCTCCCATACAGCGTGACTCCATGGACTTTCTCTTAAGAGTGCTCAGGACCGTGTGTGTGTATCACAGGATTTCCCTGGGGTGTGGTGGGGGTGTGTTAGGAGCTCCAGGCTCCTGTCCTTGCCTTTAAACCAGAGGTCTCTAGTTTGGACTGGTGTGGTGTTTCACAGATAAGCTTTTGCTTAAGAAAATGTTTCTACTTTCATTTGAAAACCACAAACCTGTAGGATGAAGTCTAAACTCCCCAACAGGGTCTTTAAATTTCTCCAAAATGTATATTCCTCTGATCTTTCAAACCTTATCTTCTACATTATTGCTTTAAGCCACCCCTAACCTACCCCCAACACTCTGACACATTCCTGTCCCCAAACCTTTGCTCAAACTCTTCCTTTTGCCTGGCAGGCTGTTCTTCCCAACTTCACATATCTAATTCCTACCCCTCCTTCAAGGCCCAACTCAATCCCACCTTCCTACAGCCTTCCCAGCTCCTTCCACTAGGAGTTACACATACGTGTGCATTTATTACCACACCCAGGGCTGAGATGTCCATTTAGTCACTAGATGGCGAGCTCCTGGAGACAGGCCTTCTGTGTCCCTCTCACAAGGCCATGCATTACACGTGACTGACATGCAGCAGATGTGTGCTGAGCAGCTCTGAAAGCAGCTTCTCAGAGAAGGCCAAGAGCCTTTATATCCTGGGACTTCAGGCAAGTCCCTCTCTGTGCCTCAGTGGGGACGCAGACATTCCTCTGTATCCACAATTCCTGCCTCCTCCCACTACCCTTGACAGCCTGGAACCTATCTTGGGTTCTCTCTCCCTGTTGGGAGCTATTTCCAATACTGTCATTGAACACAACCTTTTGACTCATACTGGAATTCAGCAGGAGTTCAAGGGGAAACACAGAGCATGAGAGGTCTCAGGCAGCGTGAAGCAATTCAGGCAAAGAGAGGAGAGAGGCAGGCCCAGGGCAGTCAACAGGGCTAGACTCCACCTACCCTAGCAGTGGTTGGAGCCTGGCTGCCCACTGCCGAGTGAAGGACGCAGGCCCAGCCAGCCTGTCTGGCCCAGAAGGCCTTCATGAGACCCACTCAAGATCGTGCCCTCCAGGCTGATTGGTTTATCGCTCCTTTAAAGTCAACGCAGTGGGGGCTGGCCCGTGGCTCACTCGGGAGAGTGTGGTGCTGATAACACCAAGGCCCCGGGTTCGGATCCCATATAGGGATGGCCAGTTTGCTCACTGGCTGAGCGTGGTGCTCACAACACCAAGTCAAGGGTTAAGATCCCCTTACAGGTCATCTTTTAAAAAAAATAAAATAAAATAAAAAAAATAATAAAGTCAACGCAGTGGGACATCTCCCCTGGGCTCCCTCATCTCCTGAAAACCCAGGTTCAGAGGAGTGTTGGGAGGGGTCTGTCTCTTCCTGCTTGCCGAGAGGTATTTGTCTGGCAAAGTGCTCAGGCAGAGAGGGAAGATGGGAGGAGGCTGATCTGAGGGGTGCTGGCAGTCGGCAGTACATCTCAGCAGGAGGTGTCAAACAGACGTTTTAGGGGCTTGGGAGTGGCACGTGTTAAAGCCACTTCCCACACACAGGGCTCCTGGCACCACCCACTTTGCCCCAATTATGGACAGAGGTAATAAAGCAAGGGTGGCTCTGGCCTGGTGGAAGTTGAGGAATTCAGGAAGCTGAATACCGCGGGCCCTGTGGTGTCCAAGGGAACCCTCCATGCCTCAGGCCCAGAGGGACCTCAGTGGGGGCAATTTGGATGAGTGACTCATTCTTTGACATCAAAAACTCCAGAAACCCAAGGCCTTCATGCACACAAATGCTCTGAATGCACCCTGTATAGACACAGACACGTGCCCAGATGGGACCACACCAGCATGTGGCATAGGCAGGCACCCAGCAGAAAACAGTCTATACACAGGCTAGGGACCCATGCCCCAAAGAAGGCAAGAAGGCATGATGAGCAGAGTGAGGCGGAGTGTGGCAGATCAGGAACTTAGTTAGAAAATAGCTGTGAGCATGGGGGTGGGAGTAGGACCCGGAAAAGTGTCCTGGTGTTGAGTGGGGAGGAGGGAGGATGGGATGAAGAGATGCAAAGCGCTGGGCCATGGTGGGATCCCCAAATGTTATTCTTCTCCTCCCCTTCACTGTAGGACCCAGGCCCCTCCCTGGATAATTGAGATCTCCAAGCCCCATGTGACTCTTCCAGATAATGAGAGGCTGCCTCGCTGCCCTGCATCAGCCAGCCCAGCGTGAAGCTCCGCTAGCATTTGCTGACTGATTCTACATCAGCAGGCATTGCGGGGGGCGGGGGGGGGCGGTCTGGGGCATTTCTCGGGGATCTATCCTGGATCCTCTCTTCTTCAGTACTCTCAGCCCTGCCTTGAGCGAGGACATGGCTGGGGGACACTTTCAGACAATGCAGAGTTCTCCATAAACTAGAGTCACAGGCCCAAACTAATCAGATGGAATCACATGGGGAAAAATATAGAGACCTGGACTCCAGTTTATTTATTTTATTTTTATTTTTTTAAAAAGATGACCGGCAAGGGGATCTTAACCCTTGACTTGGTGTCGTCAGCACCACACTCTTCCAAGTGAGCTAACCGGCCATCCCTATATGGGATCCGAACCTGTGGCCTTGGTGTTATCAGCATTACGCTCTCCCAAGTGAGCCATGAGCTGGCCCTTGGACTCCAGTTTAAAACATTAACTGTCCAGGGACAAGTTTGGGAAGACCTGGTAACAACAGTTAGTGAGAAAAAGACTCAGGAGTTTGTTGACTGGTAGCTTAAGATGAATCATCAGGGGTGACGTGGCTGCCACAGGACTACGGTTACTTTAGGTGAACAGAAACCTGCAGGTGGGCAGCTAACACCAACCCAGTTTGGTTGGTCTGGACAAATGTGAACACTTTGCTGAGGGGGTTGGAAAAGCCTGCCCTGGGAGGAAGTTTTCAGGTATTAGAGGTGTAGAGTTTAGGGAAGAGAAGGCTTGAGTCCATGTGAGTGATCTCAAGGATTGGAAAGAACCCCATGGGCAAGAAGGCAGGAATGAACCATGGTGTGAGCTTCCAGGGGTCAGACAAGAGGAATGGGCACAAGTGGAGGGGGTGGTGTGTCAGTCAAAGGAGAGGTAAGTTTCTCATAGGCAGTGGGACGGGGTCCTCGGGAGGGAGAGGAATGTTTAAGCCCTAGTGCGTGGGAAGAGATTCCTGCCCTGGGAAGAAGGAGGCTGGACCTTGCCTTCAAATGCCCTCCCCTTCACATCTCCCAGATGCTCTGATTCTCTGTCACACCCTGCTGGGGGCTGGTTCTCAGCATGATCTGCCTCCAGCTCAGCACCTAGGACCCTTTGCTTCTCTAGCCTATCTTGCAGCCAGTGAATTCCCCAGCCTGACCTTGCTTCTCAGCCCCAAGGAATGGGCAGAACTGCCTGCCGAGTGCCTGGCTCACCCAGGCCAAACCCCAGGACTCCACGGCCTGAGTCATGCGAGAAGTGTCTGCACACAGATGCTGGTCATCGCTCTGGCCATGGGGAACTCACAGGCTCCATCTCCTTTTATGTCCCAGTGTGGATATTCCTGGCCAGGAGTCAGGAGCTGAGACTGGGGCTAGCCAGGGCAGCTCTCATTCCAGCCTTCAATGTCTTGAGCGGTGTGAGGGTCTGGAGGAATGAGATTGGGCCACACGGTGAGGGTGTAGGTCTATACCTCTTATCCCACTCTTCCTTCAGAAAGCCCACACTCCCTAAGGACCATCTGAGACTCTGGCTCACTTTTTGCCACACCTCTCTCTCCCCACCCCCACCCTTCAGGAACAAACCTGCCAGACTCCTCTTCCATTTCTCCCCAAGGTTTTGGTCATTCAGAGCATAGCACTACTCTGGATGTGGCTCTGGGCTGAGACTTTAATCTACCTTACCTCTGCACTGAGTCTTTAGGTTTAAAGGAGCCCCACTTGCCCCCCAATACTTATTTGCACTTTGGAGACAGAATCACACAGTCCAAGGCACAAGTAGACATGTACAGCAGCCTCTTGTAACCATCTCCTGGATTAGTGCTGATTTAAAATATTTCGCTCCATCATTCCTGAACCAATACTCACTTGTGTCCTGATTCTCAGTTCCAAACACTTGGCCAGTTGTTTTTTTTTTTTTTTTTTGGCTGGTTGTAAGGGGATCTAAACCCTTCACTTTGGTGTAATAACACCACACTCTAACCAGCTAAGCTAATCAGCTAGACATACACGGCTACTTTTTTTTTTTTTTTTAAAGATGACCAGTAAGGGGATCTTAACCCTTGACTTGGTGTAGTCAGCACCATGCTCACCCAGTGAGCAAACCGGCCATCCCTATATGGGATCCGAACCCGTGGCCTTGGTGTTATCAGCACCACACTCTCCTGAGTGAGCCACAGGGCAGCCCCACATGGCTACTTTTATGCTATTCTGCCAGAGGAGTGGGATCAGCCACAGCCTGTGTCCCCAGGGAAGGCAAGAGTTCCTATGGGGACTCTGCAGTCTGTGTGCCTGAACCTAGACTTGCCCCAATGCCAACCCCTCCCCAGGCTGGCCTCGGGCATCTCCCTCATTTCTGACCCCTCTAACCATTCCCCAGTTGGGGCTTCCTCCACTGGGGTTCCTCTGGGGCTTTTGACCTGGTTGGGGGGAAGGATCATTCCCTCCCCCAAGGTAAAGCCCAGAAACAGCCTGAGCTGGTTTTGGTTCCTCTTCTTCACACCTTCTTGGTGAAGTGAGGTGGTACATGTGGACGGGCTCCATAGCCTGTGATGCTCTGGTTTGTGATGATCATCAGCAGGGAGGGGTCAGGGGAAGGCAGGCCCTGGAGCTTGGACCAGCTTTGCCTTGCTTTATAGTAGCTTCCCCTCTTGGCTGGTGCAAAGGGTGGGGCTGGAGTTGTAGTTTACGACCAGCCTCTGTAGGTGCCCCAGCCCAGGCCCTGTTCTGTTGGGAGGAGGCTCTCAAATCAAGATTCCTGTAGGAGTGCCTACATCTGCCTTCCCAGTAGGGCATGGGTCCCCAGCATGACCACCCCAGGGACTTGGCTCTTTCTTGTTCCTGGCTCTTAGCCATCTAGATTTTTTCTGTTTGGACCCTCCATTCATGAGAATTAGCAGCCCTCCTTAAGAAAATGGATGTTTTAAGGGGCGAGAGTAGATCTGAGAGTTCAAAGGAGGAAGGGAATACAGGATGATCAACACTTGGCTGATGGCCAAGAGCCCCTAGTCCTTAACCCAGCACTGGAGTGTAGCACCCAGTGTTCTAGAAAAGTAAGCCAATACTTGGCTTGGATAAGGAGGAAGCAAAGGAGAAGAAGAGGAAGCAAAAGGAACAGAAGGAGCCAGGCTAACTCTAGAGAGAAATGGTGAACTAAGACCTTTCATGCGTCACAAGCCAATAAACACATGTTGGGAAGCTACTACATGCAAGACGCTGCTGCCTGCTCTGTCATCCCAGGGACTCTGTGCAGACTGTGAGGCAGTCTGCCAATGCTGCTCGTGGCCCTGCAGGGAGTGGGTGGGCGTGGAGAGAGACTCTTTCTGAGGGCAACAGCCCAGAGAGAGGAGATGTAGGATGGACGTGAAGGCAGGACGGGGCACTGGCTGCAGGTCGAAGAAGAACTCCAGAGCCCAGATGGCCCCAGGACTCCTGGGCTCCTTGCTAGACCCTGACTGAAGGGTTCGGGAACAATTGGATGCCTGGCGGAGGACCGCTCATTTCAGGTGTAACACGAAGCAAGTCACAAGATCTCTCTCCCTGGGGTGCAGATTTTCTTAATGATATGGGACATGTTGTCCTCCTGCTGTCCTCCTGCCCCATGCCTCCACCTCTCTCTGGTAGGTCATGAAGTGAGGTGAGGCATGCAGTTAGGGGAAACTCTTGAGGTTTCTCAGAAGCCAAGACCGGCCAGGTCTCCAGGTGGTTACTAAGATATCCAACTGGGTCAGGGTTTGTGGTCAGCTTGAAGCTGCAGACAGAGGAGGACACCCAGTAACCTAATCAGGTGAGGCCAGTGGCTGGGAGCATGTTGCCTTGTCAGGGCAGTGGCTTTTTAGTCTGATTTGGGGTATTGCACAGACTCGGGGATTGGATTCAGGGCCAGCTTCATGGAGGTGCCACCTGTGCTGTTGTACAGAGCTTGCACTCAGAAGGACCCCATGCCTGGTTTAGTGCTTTGCGGTTGACATTTTGAAAATCTTAATATTTTCCAGCAAGCAGCATTGCATTTTCATTTTGCATTGGGTCCCACAAATTTATGCAGCTGGCCCTGATGAGATGGATGGTCTGGCTCTGATTTTAACTAAGGATTGGATCTGAGAGGCTAGACTTTGGGTAATTAGCCCTTCGTCTTACCTTTTCCCCATGTTCTACTTTACCTCCAAGCTTTGGGATCTGGGCAAGTGAGAGGTAGGCTTCTCCAAGCAAGTCTGGCAACACAGTTGGTGGAGTTATGAAACAGACTCCAGCGGAGATGAAAGGAGTCGGACAACATTTCAGGATGAGTTTAGGTCAGAAGAGCTAGTAGAAGCCAGGGTTTGGATCCTTCATGTTCTAGCCCAAAATGCAGCTCAGAGAAAAGTCCTTTCCCCAGAGAGAAAAAAGACCATGAAGAAGTTTCCAAGAAACCCTTACAACCATCCTCTGCTGCCTGCACACAGGGACGCTCTGGCTGAATTGCTCCCCACACACATCTTTTGGGAGCCCAATGACAACCAAGTCAATGGAACCACTATGCTTCACTGGAGAGATTTGGGTGGGTGTCAGAGCGTGGTGCTGGGGACCATTTTCTTAGCTCACCCAAGAAACCTTTTCAAGAATACCTTACTCTAGAGATTCCAGTCCTTTGAGGGAGGCCATAACATGTTCTAAGACATTTCTAGGATTAACACAGAGTTCTTTCACCAGCTTAGCACCCCATGCTCTGCAAATCAGGCCTCCTGGGATCCTCTCCCTTGCTACCATCTGGCCTCACACTTCCTTAATTTAGCACGTAATCATTGTCCAGCGGCTTCTAGTGAGTGATTCTTTTCTTCTTGGCTACACCTTAAGTTTAGGGCAAAGATCAGGTCCCCAACTTCTCCATCCAACACAGAATGGAGTGCCCTGATGATATAATCATATAGCAAGAGATGAACAACTATACATTGATGGATCCATTAGCAATGCCAGCCTCCTGACATTAAGAAAACCTCCAAAGTGCTTTCCTGTCTAATCCCTTATTCCAGCCCTGAGAAATCAGGAGAGCATCCCCCTAATGAAGAAGGAGAGGCAAAGTATCATGTTCCCAGTCACATAGCAAGTCAGAGGAGGAACCCCTGTCTTCCAACTCCCTCAAAAGGATGTCTGTTAATGACAAGAGCTCTACTTAATGACTTCCTCCATGGAATGGAAAATAAAATCTTAAAAAGCAGGAGTGGATGAGCCTGTCAAGATTCTACAGATCCACCATGAAGGGGTGGGGCTCAGGAGGAAGGTAGATCTCCCAAGCTGTTCCCTTTCCCTTGGATCCTGGCACACACAGGATAATTACAATTCCGAACAGGACCTGGTTGGCGGGGAGCTACCTGTGCCTACTCACCAGTTCCTCCATGAATTCCATGTCCAGGGTTAAGGGGTAGTTCATGGCTGCAGCTGTGAGTTGCCGGGCTGGTCACTGTCTGATGCTGAGAGGCTCTCCGCTCGGTGCCTATAGAGAGGTGGCAGCCGTCAGCTGCAAATTTAAACAAATGAGCTACGCACTGTCTCCTGGGGCTGCGTAGGGCCCACTGCCTGCTTCTCAACTCATCCTTTTTTTTTTTCCACTGGGTCTTTTCTATTTTTTTTTTTTTTTTTAAGAAAAAGGGAAAATCCCCCAGAGCATCGGTGCTAGTCAAGCATTTCAGCTTCTTTCCTGGCAACAGTCGTCTCAATTGGGGCCTGTGACTAGTTTGAAGGCTGCCCCTCACTCCTCCTCCCTACACCCCTGATAAGGGACTCACACTTGTAGTAAAATCACCACGCAAGTCAGCAGGCTGCTGAGGGAAACTCCAGATAGAAAGGGAAGAGGAGAAGAGCACTTCCAGCGACCTCTCCTCAAAGCTACCTCCAAACCTTCAACTTTCTCACCACTAGGGTAACCAGCCATCCCAGTTTGCCCAGGACTGAAAGTCCCTTGTTTTGGGAAACCCCTCAATCCTGGGTAAACCAAGGCACTTGGTTGACCTACTTGCCATCATTATTTTGCCCAGGCAGGGGCAAAACCCTTTCCCTTTCCAGCTCAAGTTCAGAAGAGATAGGTTAGAATTTTAAAACATTACCGGAAGACAAAAATGAAATCGCCGAAAGAAAGCACAACATAGGGCCGGCCCGTGGCTCACTCGGGAGAGTGTGGTGCTGATAACACCAAGGCCATGGGTTCAGATCCCATGTAGGGATGGCCGGTTCACTCACTGGCTGAGCGTGGTGCTGACAACACCAAGTCAAGGGTTAAGATCCCCTTACCGGTCATCTTTAAAAAAAAAAAAGAAAGCACAACGTAAACATAGTTGCAGTGTCATTTTCTGACTCAAAAATGACGTTCTAGCTACACGTTAACTTGGTTGGCACATAAATTATTAACGTCATACTCCAGAGACCATTCAGTCTAACCCCTGATTTTTATGCAGGACCGTGAGGCCCAGAGAGGGAGAGTCACTTACCCAGGACCCCGCAGCTAACTAGTGGCAAAGATGGGACTTGAAACTCCACATTTAGTGCTTTCTTTACAACAACGGGCTGCCACTCTTACAGGCTCACATAACCCCTTTCCTTTCCCTCGGTTCTGCCCTATCTGAGGGCCTCTTTCTTTTAGAAGCCCCTTTGTGGACGATGGTCAATCCCTCCCTCTAAGTCTCATCTGTGTGCTTTTTCTCCCAGGAGAGGGCATTTCCTATCTTGGTCCACAATGATATGAAAACAATAACTGCACACTCAGAGGCACCCATACATGGCACGCTCTTTCTTCGCCCTTCCTCTACCCTTGTTGTCACCCTCGCCATCCAGCCACATCGTCGTTTGCTGGGATCCTACCCATTCTAGTGCCCTCTTTCACCTTTTCCTCCATAGTCATCTTCCCCCTTTCTCTCCTACACACTTGGCTTATAGACCTTACCTCACCCCAACTGATGCACCTTTCTCGGGTTTCAACGGCTTGAGGAGTTTTCAGCCTTTCTTTGTGCTATTGGGATCTTTTTTCCCTCTCTTCTCCATTCACTGCATTCAGAAATTGCTGTCAAGGAGGAAAAATCCCAAGGCAAAGGGCCGGAGTTCCTCACCAGCACTTCCAGTGCCAACACCTTCTGGGAGGAAGCTGGCCCAGTGTTTCCGTGTCCCCAGGTTGCTGGTGGACTCTCCACAGCCTTCCAACCACGCCACCCCCAACATTCCTGCCCCTCCAATCCATCAGCATATTCAGTCTAGCTTTTGCTACTCTAAGGACATTGATCAGGATGGAATATAGCATATAGAATCATCTAGAAATTGAAAGGGACTTGTTTTTGTTTGTTTTTGGTTATTTTCTCAGCTAGCCTGTATAGGGATCAAGCCCCAGACCTTGGTGTTATCAGCACCACGCTGCAAACAACTGAGGTAATCGACCAGCCCTGAAAAGGACTTTGGAAGACAAACTGATCCATTCTCACCCCACTCCCACCCCCAGAAATGCAACATTCTTGTCGCTGCATCCTCGTTAGATGGCCACACAATTTCAGACAAACGTCACCACGAGTGAGAAACTTGCTCTGTTCATGTTTCTGTGTAGGATGGTTTAATGATTAGAAACTTATTCCTCATGCTGACTCAAAATATGTCTTCCTGCAACTCATCCCTAGAGTCCTGGCTGTGCCTTCTGTCCAGACCGTTCAGCTCTTCTTCCAATAAGCTCCCTCTGAAGATGGATATCACATCCTCACGAATCTTTTCACCACACGTCCCAGTGTCTTCAGCCAGTCTTCCAAGACTTGGTTTCTGGTCCCTCGTCAGCCTGTTCTTTGACCTCTGGGTGATTTCTGGTTAATGGTCCAGACATTAGCCAACTAGGACAAAATATAGGGAGATATGAGTTTCCTCTGTCAAGACTCCATGCTTATATAACTGCAGTTAAGATGGTCTTGCCTGTGAGCTCCACTCCCCTTGACAACACGCCTAATAGATTTTGGTTTCATGGTTCTGAGCCATCGTTTCAGCCTATAAAGGGAAACTTCCGCAATTCCGATTGGGTCATCTGGTGATGTGATGAAACATACATAAGCCATTCTTGAGTCTGTCCTAGTCCTGATAGAAAATATTGACAGGTCAAAGACAAACTCTGCTTCATTTCTCAAAAATCAGGGAAGACCTCACAGAAGAAGCAAGACATGAGCTGGACATGGAAGGTTTGGAGAGAGTGAAGGCAGGATGTGCCTGGAGGGGAGGGTGCATGGTGGTGGGGGGCGGGGGGAGACGACAAGGACTGAATGAAAAAATGTGTGGAAGGCATCATGCTGTGCCTGGCACATCTGGGGGCACTCGGTGTGTGGTGGGTGTGGCTGTGGTGATGATAATGATGACGATGAGAGGAAGAGGGGAGGAGGCAAGAGGAGATGGGAGTGTGCTCTGGACAAGGTAGGAATTGCTCTGGCGGTCTTCTCCTCTCCTATTCTTCCCACTCTCAGTTGTCCATTTCCCATGATGTGTTGCAGGTCCAGAAGGAGGGCTCGAGGGTAGGCTCAGGACTACTTTTTAGTAATAGCAGCAGCAGCAAGCTCTGGCCAGTAGCTTCAGCTACGATGGGGTGGGGCAGCAGAAGGCAGCCTACCAGCTTCTCTGTGGCTGACCTGGGCTTTAAGGGGTAGACGCACCTGTGACCGTCACCTGGAATCCTCTCTAGTCCCTCAACTTGCTAGTGCTTCTTGCACCCTGGGCCCATTCAGATATCCCTTCCTTTTCTCTAGATGCTGTGATAAACTACAGGTTCCCAGGGCCCATGTGTCTCAGCCACTGACCTTTCATGGTTTACTCAGTTTACCCTATATGGGTAAATACCTCCTGACCATGAGTTCTAATGTTGCCTTAGAATGCTGAGAATAACTGCTTTTGTTAGGAAAGATGATCTTATGATCTTCAAACCCATAAAGCCAGTCTAGATCCCCAGTATAGAGAGGGCAATGCCTAAGCTGTGATCTGTTGACTTTATTTTATTTTTTTGGTGGCTGGCTGGTATGGAGATCCAAACCCTCGACTTTGGTGTTAATAAACACTGTGTTCTAACCAGCTGAGCTAACCAGCCAACCCCTGATCTGTTGACTTTAAAGATGAGATGTCAGGGGTTCCACCTGTGTGTCACAATCAGATGGGCGGAGACCCTCTCAGGAAAGGCAGCCCAAATTTTATTTCAGTTTGCAAATAGTTTCTATTTCATCTATGTGGGATCCGAATCCACACCCCCATGGGCAGCCTAACTGAGGCTGAATTGTTTTCTAGGCTTCTCATCTACATGACCAATGGTGGACCTGCCAAGGGTCTAGTTTGGGTATGGGTGGCTGCTTGTGTCTAGTTTGGGTACGGGTGGCTGCTTGGGTATGGGTACAGGGGGCGTTTTCTTAGTAATTATACTTTGCAGTTCATGGATTATATCACATTTCTGTTTGTTCCAGATATTAGATATGATCACATGTCTTAAGAGTTCATTTTCCACATTCCACAGAAAAATAAAACTGTTTCACAGTCTTGGGGCACTGCTGCAGGAAATGGGTTAGGTTTTTCCCCCTTATTTATTTCATTAACCTGGACTCTCTCCCTCTCTCTTTCTCTGACCTGAGCAGAGACCTTGTTTTCTTTCTTTGGGTCTTTCCCAACAGTTCGGAACAGAGCTCCACAAATCCCCACCTTGGGCCGGCCCGTGGCTCACTCGGTAGAGTGCGGTGCTGATAACACCAAGGCCACGGGTTCGGATCCTATATAGGGATGGCCGGTTTGCTCACTGGCTGAGCGTGGTGCTGACAACACCAGGCCAAGGGGTGAGATCCCCTTACCGGTCATC